AAAAATCTCTGCCCCCACAATACATATACTCTAGTGGGTAAAACATAAATTAATCAAGATAAATAATTTATAATATATAAGAAGTGAGAATAAAACATAAAATAGAGATCACTGTAAACAAAAATAAAATAAAAACTTAAAACCTCAAACTATAAAACTACTGGACAAAAACAGGAGAGATGCTTCAGAACATAGGTGCAGGCAAACATTTTATGGCAAAGATATCAAAAGCACAGGCAATGAAAATAGCAATAGACAAATGGGGCTGTATTAAACTGAAAAGCTTCTGCGTAGTAAAGGAGACAATCAACAGAGTGAAGAGACGACCTGTAGAAAGCATTTGCAAACTATTTGTCCAACAAGGAATGAATACCCAGAGTATTCAAGAAACTCAAACAACTCAACAGCAAAATAAATAAATAAGCTGATTAAAAAGTAAGCGAAGAATCTCAATAGACATTTCTCAAAAGAAGACATATATTTAGCCAACAAATATATGAAAAAAAACCCAGCATTCAACATCACTAATCATTGGGGAAAAGCAAATCAAAACCACAGTGAGATATCAGCTCACCCTAGAATGACTATTGTCACAAAAACAAGAAATAACAAATGCTGGAACTCTTATATATTATTAGCGGGAATCTGACTTTGTACAGCCATGATGTAAAACAGTGTGGAGGTTTCTCAAAAACTGAAAACAGGCCCACCATATGATCCAGCAATCCCATTACTGGGTATTTTCCAAGAAAAAGAAATCAGTATATCGAAGGGATATCTGCACACATATGTTTCTTGCAGCACTATTCGCAATAACTAAAATATGGAATTAACTTAAATATCCACCAGCAGATGAATGAATGGTGGTATATATACACAATATTTAGTCACAAAAAATGAATTTCTATCATTAATGCCAATGTGGGTGAGCCCGGAGGGCACTAAGCTAAACAAAATAAGATAGGCACAGAAAGATCAATACCAAATGTTGTCACTGATATATGGAAGCTATGAAAGACAGTTTGAGCCCAGGGAAGTGGAGAATAGAATTGCAATTATTAGAGGCTGAAAAAAAGAGAAGAGAGGGGATGGGGAGGAGAAGGATATTAATTGGTATAAAATTGCATCTAGATGGGAGTGATGAATTCTAGTGTTCTGCAGCCCTGTAGGGTGAATATGGTTAACTATAATTTATTGTATATTCTTGAAAATCTAGAAGAGAAGATTTTAAATGTTCACAATGCAAAGAAATGATAAATATTTGAGTTGATGGATATGCTAATTATCCTGACTTAATCATTATACTTCGTATACACATATCAATATATCACTCTATATTCCCCCAAAACATGTACAATGACTATGTATCGATTAAAAATAAAGAGAAAATAATGGAGCAGAGGAGAAGAAAATGAAAGTTGAAAAGAATGACATTTGGGTGTTCATGGATGATCTCTTTGAGAAGATGAGTTATGAATGAAGATTTGTTTGGGGAGAAATTTGCCAAGTAAATGAGAATGTAGAAGAAACATTTGAGACAGAAAACTTGCAGCATAATAGATGTTTAGGGAATAGTAAGTTGTGGGGTTGAATTGTGTGGGTGTGAGCGCATGCACTTGTACTGTTGACAAGAAAAATAAGGTAAAGGTTGGATTGGGATGAAGGTGTGAGGCATTCTGCTCACTTTGCTAAGGAATTTGAGCCTTATCAGGACAATGAGGCTATCTCATAAGCTTTAAACATGGTAATAATAAGCCTTATGAATCTAGAAGGTTGGCTAGAGTAGTGTCACTGTGGCATTGGGGGGTATGGCTAGCGTTAAATTGTGTATATCCCTAAACAAACCAAGACACTAAACAAACCACGACCTACTCAAGCAGTCGTGAGCTCTCCTTGCACTTATATATACAGATTTCATTTTGTACATAGATGGCAATGGACAGAGTTACTGATGTCCAAGAGAAGAAAAACAAATGGGAAGGTGACACTACAACCAAAAGAGGTCTAAATTGGTGCTACAAAAAAAAATAATAAATAAATAAGAGAATCTTACGAAAAGGAGAGAAGAACTGGGTGGTAAACATTTAAGAACATTTTTAGATCTAGTCCATTAGTTATTACATACATGGAAATATAAAAACAATAAAATTGTTTTGTATTTTTAAAGTAGCCGTTCTCAATGCTGGATATGCAGAGTTGTTGCGGTCTCCAAGACTTTTTCAGGGATCCACAAACTCCAAACTGTGTTTATAATTATGCTATGAAGCCATTTATTTTTTTACTGTGCTGACATTGAAACTGATGGTGAAAAAGCAATGGTGCTGTTACTTTGGTATGAATGGAGGTAGTGGCACCAGACTGTAACAGCAGTCACTGTGGTCTTCATCGCCACACCCTCATAGAGAAAAGAAAATTTAAAAAGCTGATTTCACATAAGAATCCCTTATATTAAGCATTAATTTCATTAAACCTTTACCTGCGAATACACTTTTTAAAAATTGTGTGTGATGAAAATATACTTACATGGGAAATGCATGTAAAGTTTGTCTGCTGATGTATGACAGTTGTCATGAGGAAGATGTCACTTATGTAACCAGCTGAACCAGCCATTTTTTTGTTTTTAATAGAACATCATCTCTTCTTGAAAAAAGACTATGGTTATTGATACTTGCACATTTAGCATAAATTTTTTTAAAATAATAAAAATGGGCCTGTTACTTCAAGGAAAACAACTGTTAGGATTTATGGCCAATGTTAAAACTTGAACTTTCAAGCAGAAATTATTATTTTGGGGAAACTTCTATCCACTTCCTTGGGCTTGACATCTTCTTAATACTTAAACAGACTTCTCTTATGAAATTAGTGGTGATATTAACAAATGTGACTTTTTTGATATTGTAAAAAGGTCATTTGAAAGAACTACATACATCAATAAACCAGTTATTTTTCAAATGGCCAATGTCCATGGTGTTATAAAAATAAGGCCAGAATAAGATCCATTCACAGCATAAGACAGACAAACAGATTTTAGTGTGGCCAAATATGAAAAATTCACTGCTATGGTTTCAGATGTTTTATTGCAACTAACCTTTAAAAAACTTTGAGTTATTGGCCGGGCATGGTGGCTCATGCCTCTATCCCAGCATTTTGGGAGGCTGAGGCAGGCAGATCACTTGAGTTCAGGAGATAGAGACTAGCCTGCCCAACATGGCAAAAGCCCATGTCCACTAAAAATTAAAAAAACAAAACAAAAAAATTAGCTGGGTGGCTGGGTGTGGTGGTGTGTGCCTGTAGCCCCAGCTACTCAGGAGGCTGAGGCAGGAGAATTGCTTGAAACTTAGAGGTGGTGGTTGCAGTGAGCCAAGAGATTGTGCCACTGCACTCCAGCCTGCACAACAGAGCAAGACTAAAAAAAAGAAAGAAAGAAAGAAAAGAAACTATTAGTTGTTGATTTTGAGTGTAGCATCAAAGAATAATATCCACAATCAGCTAAAAAAGCATTAAGATACTCTTCCCTTTTCTGAAGTACATATCTATGTGAGGCCATATTTTTTTCATGTAATTTAACCAAAACAACATACTGCAACAGTGTCAGGGAAAATGTAGTAGGAGAGTCTACCTACCTTCTATTGAGCTAGATATTAAAGGGATTAGCAAAAATGTACGCCAATTTGTTCATCATTTTTAGGAAAAATGAATATTTTTCATGAAGTTGTTACTTATGCAATAGGTCTATTGTTATATCAATGAATACAAATATTTTTAGTTTTAATTTATGATATATAAAATACTAATAGATATAGCTAGCATAAACAAAATGAAATAGCGTTTGTCAGATTTAGCAAATAAAAATACAAGACACAGAGTAGATTTACATTTTAAATAAATATGAATACTTATTAGTATACATATGTCCTATGTAATATTTGGGGTATACTTTTTTTTTAATTCACGGTTTTATTTGAAATTTGAATTTACCTAGTCATCCTATATTTTATCTAGAAAGCCTCCTTGGGAGTACTCAATAATTTGTAATGCTATAAAGGAGTCCCAAGCTTGTGATTTGAAAAACAATGCTTTAATGCGTTCTGTAGGTTAGCCTTTTTCCATTTTCTGTTTCTTTTTTCTTCTACTTACTCGGAATTAGTGAGGTTTAACTATAATTAATTACTATACATGCCTTATTACCTCTAGACTTAATTGCTATTGAAACTTTTGTTTTCACAGTCAGTTCTAGACACAGCTTATTCATCTATGTATATTCTGCTCAAGTAGAAAATGGATATGTTATAGCAGCAGAACTGATAAATTTATTTTAAGCATATTTCATGGAGAACAATGGTGGACCACATGCATGAATGCTATGAAACCATGTTGGAGATGCTTTTAGGAAAATATTAAGTATGATGAAATAGCTCTTACATTCTCTTTGTATAGCAATAGAAAAATGAAGTATTTGGTCGAGATATTTAAAAATTTGTGATTTTAGGCAAATGTTCCAGAAAGAGGGCATAATGAAATGTAATGTGTCTCAGAGACATGGTATCAGTTTTTTTTTTAATGCTTGCAAGTTCCTGGCCTGTCCTGGGTTGACTAAATGGCATAGTTGCCCTGCAAATAATAGCACTTATGAGAAAACAATAGACTTTGAAATGAGATGCTAAAGTTGTATAAAACTGAACCGAAATTTATTAAACAAGTTAGTTGTCTATGTTAGCATATGGTATTCATTCGTTTATATGCTGCTGATAAAGACATACCCGAAAATGGGCAATTGACAAAAGAAAGAAGTTTATTGGATTTAAAGGTCTACATGGCTAGGGAGGGCTAACAATTATGGCAGAAAACAAAGGAGGAGCAAGTCACATCTTACGTGGATGGCAGCAGGCAAAGAGAGCTTGTGCCGAGAAACTCCCATTTTTAAAACCATCAGATCTCACGAGGCCTATTCACTATCATGAGAACAACACGGGAAGGACCTGCCACCATGATTCAGTCATCTCCCACTGGGTCCGTCCCACAACACGTGGGAATTATGGGAGCTACAAGGTGAGATTTGGGTGGAGACACAGAGCCAAACCATATCACATGTAGAAACCATACCTGTGAAGAAATCAATGGACCCCTATGGGTTTTTTTGTAGGAAAAATGAAGAAATTCAGGTTGCTACAAACCCTTGAGTACTGTGGCACTGACAAAACAAATCTTATTCCTAAAAATAAAAATGTGAATCTTAAACAAAGATAAATTCATTTAAAAGTATGATCTAAAGATTTTATATTGGGGTTGGATATAACGGCTCATGCCCGTAATCCCAGCACTTTGGGAGGCCAAGGCAGGCAGATTACAATGTTAAGAGATCAAGACAATCCTGGCCAACATGCTGAAAGCCGGTCTCTATTAAAATTTTAAAAATTAGCTGAGTGTGTTGGCATGCACCTGTAGTCCTAACTACTCAGGAGGCTGAGACAGAAGAATCACTTGAACCCGGGAGGCAGAGGTTGCAGTGAGCTGAGATCACACCATTGCACCCCAGACTGATGGAGCAAGACTCTGTCTTCAAAAAAAAAAAAAGAAAAAGAAAAAAAGATTTTATATCTACAGAAAAACGTATGCATACACACAGAAAAATACTGCCATTATCACAGGATATTAGGATTATAGAGAACTTTCACTTTCTATTTCATATGCATCTATGAAATAGATTTATGTGTTTGTATTACACTTAAAATTTGAAAAAAAGCCATCAAGAAAATGCATTTTAAAAATTACCTTTCTTTTAAAAAATGAGACCTTCACAAGCTACTCTTTAACTTGTGTTTACAACATGTCTTAGATCTCTTTTCATATCAGTATCTATATCCATACCTTTTAATTGCCACATAGCAGGATATACCAACGTTGTTACCCTTTCTCAAGCACTTTTTATTGCTATTTCTAACAGTGTTGTCATAAACAAATGATTATGCAAATCTCTGTGCCACTGTAGGAAGTTTACAGGGCAGTGGGATAAAATAAAAAATTGTTTTGAGGTAGTGGCATGAATGGAAAGGAAGGATGCACACAACTATTTTTATTTGTATATCATTTTGTGGCACTTGTACACAGGACTTTATCTTCCTGAGAGCTCATGAAAGGTTTGAAAACACCAAAGAATCTGTCTTAATGGAAACTGTCTTTTTGTTATTAGGCTGTGTCCAATACCCTAAATTGCTTTATCCAGCATCCATTCTAACCTACCAGTAACCTGCAGCAGCTGGAAAGTTAAAAATTACATTTCTCAGACACATTGGAGGCTAGAACATGATTTACGTTCCTTCATACTCTTACAAGAATGTTTAGAATCTGAATCAAATAGAAGAAAAAGCCAAGTTTGAGGCATACATTTTGCTGGCGAGGATCAAGGCCGAGGTGGCAGCTATAGCAGTGACTGCCCAATGTGGTAGGTGGATTCCTGATTCAGCAGCTTCCTGGAGCAGCAGTGGCATATTTCTGGATCATGGCAGACCAGCCTGGGACTGAAGTCAGCAGTATTAGCAGCAGATTCATAATTTGTCAGCTTCCTGCATCTGTGGTGGTTGTTTACCTGCTCAAGGCAAAGGCAGAGTGCTTCTGGGAGCTGCTATTTGTTCCTGGGTGTAAGAATAAAACTGTTCTAATAAATGTGTTGGTTTTCAATTCTTAAAATTTCTTGTTACCTATATGATCTAGAGCATAGGTCAGCAAACTATAGCCCATAGGCCAAAGCTAGCCTACTGCCTGTTTTTGTATAGCTTACAAAATTGTTTTTACATTTTTAACTGATTAGAAAAAATTGTAAAGAAGAATAATATTTTGTGACATGTAAAAATTACATGAGATTCTCATTTCAGTGTTCATAAATAAAGTCGTATTGGAAGACATCACTTTGATACATTTGCATATTAGCTGTGGCTGCTTTCGCACTAAAACAGCAGAATTGACAAGCTACAACAGAGACTATATGCCCACAAAGCCTAAAATATTTATTATCTGACCTTTACACAAAAGTTTGTCAATCCCTAAATATACAGTGAACTCTCTTGATTCAACTGAATGCTGAGTACTATAGATGCCACTGTATTAAGACATGTAAGAACACAGAAGCACAAATTATAAACAACACATTAATTACATTGCACTTGAAGTTGCTGATATCTTTTCTATTTTTCATATCTAGTCCTGTCAGATAATTTTCACGTTGGAACAATAATCTATAAAGTGACAAAGGGTTTACAAGTGATGGTAGCCATTAGCACTGTTCACCAATGATTTCTGTTCCTACTCATGGGTTTATGGCAAAGCTGTACTTCTACATCCACTTGATATTAGATATGACCATGTGGCTTGCTTTGGCCAATAACATTTGAGCAGAAAGAATACGTCTCACATCAAAGGAAAAGTTTAAGAGCCAGTGTACGACTCACTATGTGCTCTTTTTCTCCTGTCATGGTTATTTATCAGCAACCTTGTGATGATGATACTCATCAACCAAGGTCTCTGAGTCACTATGATGAATTGTAGCCCCTCAACCCTCCTGCATATAGCATGAGTGAGAAATTAATTAACCTTTGTTGTTTTAAGGGAACAAGATTTGGGGGATTTGGTTACTGCAACATAACCAAACTATCCTGACTGATACTCCATTACATAAATTGTGATGATGTCTTTAAATCTTATAGGTTAGATATGTAAAATACAAACATGCTTTTTCTGTTTCTAAAAAAAAGTACATTTTGATCAGAAGATCCCATTCCCACAGATAGTGGGGAAATATGTTAAAACTTGTCAATAATGAGTAACTTGTTCTTTGTTATTGTTAATACGTCTCTTTAAATCAATAAAGAAATTAAAAGTGTTTTTGTTGGGTGAAGAAATATTCAACATATCCAAAATTTAAATCCTTACCAGAGATACTTCTTTACTCTCAACAGATGTGTTTTTCCCTTCCTTGCAAAGCTGGCATCTAAGTGAATGGGGATCCCTAAGATTTATAGGGGAGGGTTGGGGCTGTAGGTATATGTCCTCTTCCCCAAGTGTTTTTGCTTCAAATGGCTGACATGTGTTGTGTAGTCTTTTCCCTGTGCAGCTGACAATAATGAGGCTAGATGGCCATGCTCATTAGATCTTGGGGCACGATACTGGCACTTGCTGCTGAACAATGTGAAGGTCTCTGTACACCATGGTGTTCTCCTCCTGACTCCAGGTTCTGTCATCCTCTCAGCTCTTCTTTCATTCAGTGGAACTCTTAAGTTGCTTTATCTCACTCTCACCTGAAGTGCACAGAGCTCAGGGAAGCTTTTTCCAAGCTTATCTTTCTTGGCTTTTTCTAACCTACTGCCTGGTTTCTTGTGGAATTTAGCCCTCAAAAGGCAACTTCTCTAAGAGAGTTGTTATTTTATTTTCCAGGACGTGTCTAGGATTTCCCAAAGCCTATGTGAGTATTTCTATGCCCGTATGTCTTTGGATTTGAACCAAAAGGAGGAAGCAAGAGAGCCCACATGTCTTACTCTTGCAGTTATCTTTCTACAGTTCTCAACCTCCCCTTTATCTTTCCGAGTCAGGGGTCTTTCCACTGCTTCTCCCAGCTGGTAGGAGTTTCTCTATGCTCATTCTTCTTCATTTCTGGGTATTCATCCTTCTCTCCTCTATTGTAATATAGGTGAAGAGCCACAGGGCATAAATTTGGCTACCAGGAAGAGAATATTACTTCAGAAGGTATTTCAAAAATATTATCCTTATTATGTTACTCCCTGTATTAGGCCATTCACACTGCTATAAAGATACTACCTGAGACTGGGTAATTTATAAATAAAAGAAGTTTAACCGACTCACAGTTCCACATGGCTGGGGAGGCCTCAGGAAACTTATGTTCACGGTGGAAGGCGAAAGAGAAGCAGGCACCTTTCTTTACAAGGCAGTAGGAGAGAGAGAGCATGCAGGGGAAACTACCACTTATAAAACCATAACATCTCATGAGAGCTTCCTCATTATCATGAGAACAGCAGAGAGGTACCCTCCCCATGATCCAATCACTTCCCACGAGCTTCTTCCCTCCATACCTGGGGATTACAATTTGAGATGAGATTTAAGTAGAGATACGGAGCCGACCAATATGACTCTCCATAGACCCAATAATTAAGAAAACAAAAATATTATATATGTTTAAATATAAGCTGAGTTGTTTTTTCAAAATTATCACTTAGAAATAAGAAAGTCATCTGAAATAATTTTTCATGTTAAATAGTACCCTAGCATTTTAACAATAAATTTATATTTGGGAAAGATCCATTAACCCCAAACACTTATGATATTACATTTTTTTAAATAGACAAGTAGGTCGGGTGTGGTGGCTCACGCCTGTAATCCCAGAACTTTGGGAGACCGAGATGGGCAGATCAGGATGTCAATAGGTGGAGACCACCCTGGACAACATGGTGAAACTCTGACTCTACTAAAAATACAAAAATGAGCCGGGCGTGATGGCGCACTCCTGTAGTCCCAGCTAGTTGCGAGGCTGAAGCAGAATCACTTGAACCCGGGAGGTTGAAGTTGCAGTGAGTCAAGATTGCACCACTGCACTCCAGCCTGGAGAGAGAGCGAGACTCCTTCTAAATAAATAAATAAAAGAGGCAAGTAAATAGACTTACATATACTTAATTCCTGGAATACGCCATGAGAATCACAAGTTTTGGCTATCAACATACCTTTTATGTATCACTTCCAAAAGTAAAGTGATAATGACTAAGTTGTCCAAATAATAACTCCCAAATGAATATTTGTGGCTTGAGGTAAAATTTAAGTGATCGCCTTTCCTGCAAATTATAAAAAAGCTGTATCTCCAACAACTTATGTGGAAGGGAAGGTCATAAGCTCTTTGGTTTAAAAGACTCAAAAAGTAATCTAGTTATAGCAACCATGAGGTCTAAAAGATACTTAAAAAAATACTTTTCATTATATAAAGGGATTATAAAGTATTCATGCAAGTGCTGAGGT